ATAATGACTGGCGCGAGTGCATCAATATTGATAAGCATTTATATATGATGACAATTAAAGCGAACATATCACATTTTATCTCTAATATTTTGTTGAGTTTTAATGCGATTGTTGCGGTGCTTTACCTCTTAGGCGACTACGTAATTCATTTTGTATTTCTAACCGACGACCATAACAACACTTTAAGGCAGCTACCTATAAAGATACAATTTCCGTTTGAAACTCAACAATCGCCGACGTTTGAGTTTCTCTTTGTAACGTTAATCTTACATGTGACAATACATTCATGCACAATCTCAATTCTAAATGGATTAATCTTGACTTTGGTAAAGCATATTTGTATATTTTTATTTTTTATGATTTATTATATAACCGATTAATTTGTAACACATAGTCGTGAGCATTATCACATTAAAATATTTCTTTACATTGTAGAATTTTATTTTAGACGACATATTTTTATGACGATATGTGAAATATTTTAACATATTAATGCCAACGTTAGAAAAATTTTACATTTACATTTGTACAAAAATTTTTTATATTTGAATACATTATTTAATAATAATAATTTTAATTTTAATAATTTTAATAATAATATTTTTATCGTGTTATTGTATTTAAAATAAATTTTATTTTAAAAAATCTCTTTTAAATATAATAATTAAGATTTTTTGTAAAAAAAATGTAAGTATATTTTAGGTCCTTCATATAAGCGGTCAAATTGATATAATGTGTCATGAATTGAAAAATGTTTCTAAAAGTACTCTGCATGAATCTTCCGTGTCTTTATTTGGAATACTGATTGAAAGGCATAATAAAATTATTTCAATTTCCAAGAACATCGAAACACTCTTTTCCTTCATAGCATTGATGCAAGTTGTTTGGAATACGTTAGTTATTTGCTGTTTTGGATTTATTATCATAATTGTAAGTATTGTAATACATGAACGATTGATATTACAAGTATAAATTTTTCTTTTTATAATTTCTTAAATTAGTCTATTCAAAACAATACTGGGATTTTCGTATTAGTGAAAACTATTTCTGGTTATTTCGTTATTATGATTGAAGCTTTTGTCATTTGCTTTGCCGGAGAATATCTTAGCATGAAGGTAAATATTCGAAATTATAAATGATACACAATTTTTTAATTACATAATCATGCTGTTATAATGGAAATACATTGTTTTTTTAATCAAAATATTTTAATGATATTAACGTATGAATAAAATATTTTAAATTCTTTTAATGCACAAAATGTGTCATAACATAAACAATATTTTAAATAAAAATGTTTTCTATCTAAAAAAAAATGTTCATTTTTCAAATATATTGTAACATAAAAAATATATTGTTTCAACATATACATCTGTCTCTTATACACATCTCTGAGCGGGCTGGCAA